GCTACCCATCAATGTCCTTATGGCGCGTGCGATCTTCATTAAACGAGAATAATAGGTACCAAGAACTCAGTTTGGTTAATGAATCGTCGTACCTGTTAAACCCTGATTCCGTACTGTAAGGAAAACCATAAACTGAGACACTGATTAGACATTGTTTGCATCCATTGATGAAATAAAACGTCGGTGCATTTGGAAACATCTGCACTGCACGCCAAGAACATACTTGGGCGACCTCAAACCAGCTTAGCTGGACGAAAAATCCTACAGCATTGGAATATCGAGTGTCGGGTCATCCATTGCCCCGGTCAGCAACACCTGCATAAAATGCCGTATTCTCAGAAGATACCGTGAGATCGATTACATATAATCTCACTGAACAATTGACACGATTATCTCCTAATACCCTGGAAAGCTACAGTTGGTGTCGCGGTCCACTGGGTGAGATGTTGGAGTTGACGACACTCAGCTATTGCCAACCTTCTCAGCAAAATCTGAGAATTATGTGCTGCTGAAAGACGTGTATCTTTCATGCTGGAATAAACATACAATAAATAATCTTTTCAATGCTATAAAAGAAAGAGATGTGGCTTGAAATGTGATATTCCTTATGCTAATCATGTTAAAAATATTTCCCCAGCTAATCCAAGCTCTGGCGGCCCAAACATAGGGAATCCACTGGAACGTAAAGTCTAGGCCAATCTGATGACAAAATCATTCTTTTCATGGTACACTGACACCATCCTGCATATGTTTTTATGAATGCAGTATATGAACAAGTCATACCCACCGTTGCATTGAAAGAACTGCTGTTTAGATGAATTTTTAAAAGTTTAAATTTTATTTAAGGGGGAGATATACCGACAACGAGATGCAGTGTCGATGCGCTCGCCAGTTGGGCCAGTATTCGCTGATATCTTCATCGACATGTTGGACAAGGGAATCAAACATCTACCATCGCAAGTTTTAATCTCTACCATCGTTAGGTTGATAACTTATTTGTGCTGTTTCAGTCCTCTCAGAATATTGGAGATATTACCAAAACTTTCAACTGGGCCCATAATGCGATGAATTTTCCCACCGAGGTAGAGGACAATGGCTATTTTCAATTTTGGACGTGGGCTTAAAGAGACTCGATAGCAGGACATTACAGCGCCACGTATAAAGAAAAAGCTACGGAACGGCCAGTACACCAACATCCACAGCGTTGTACTACTGAGGCTGAAACGGTGTTTCATTCATAATCTGGTCAGTAGGGTAGAACTAATCTGCTCACATGATACGCTTGTGGATGAAGTACAGCGATTAGGCTGTTTGTTGCGCACAAAGGGTTATCCAGTTCACTTCATAAAAGTCCACATGGGGAAGAGGATTAACATACCGGTTGGTTTAACAGCTAACAGGAAAGCACATTCCTTACAACTCCGTTACAAAAGGTAAAATCGCTGTCGAAATTCTTAATCACCATCTATCACAGGAGCTCAGCCGGACGTTTCCAGCAGTAAAATTGCTTACCTACTTTATCAGTACACCAATGGGGAAGTTCAGCCTCAAGAATAGTAGACCTGTCCACGACAATTCTGTGTGCATCCATTCATGTATCTGCTTCTGTGGATCCGCATAAATTGGTCGTACGACTATGTGTCTATCCGAACGAAGGAAAGAACACCCTCTAGCATAGCCAGTGATCGGATGCAGAAGGGTATGTAACTCAGCCATAGGTGCCCACCTTGCCGCCACAAGTAACAACCCTAGGCCAGGCGAAGCATTCCAAATTATCTACAGGACACCGGATAATCGATCGAA